AGAAAATCATGGCAGTATCCCTTATAAGATTAACCAAATAATACTGTGATATTATAGTATTATACTGTATAAAATATTAGTGCCAGGAATGTAGTGCAATGTTGGCTAAAGGCAAAGGTAACTTGCTATCTAAATCTTCAAGATTACTTATAATAATCACAGAACACAAGAGCAGTACAATTACAACTGCCTTTAAAAATACATTTTTAGCCAGGCGTAGTGGCACGTGCCTCAAGTCCCAGCTACTCGGGAGGCTGAGGTGGGAGGATCGCTTGAGCCCAGGAGTTCTGGGCTGTAGTGCGCTACCGCACTAAGTTCAGTATCAGTATGGTGACCTCCTGGGAGCAGGGGACAACCATGTTGCCTAAGGATAGGTGAACTGGCCCAGATCGGAAACGGAGCAAGTCAAAACTCCCGTGCAGTAGTGGAATCACGCCTGTGAATTGCCACTGCACTCCAGCCTGGGCAACATAGCAAGATCCCATCTCTTAATTAAATAAAAAAATACATTTTTATTTCCCTTAAATGATTGGTCAAAAAGTACTGAGATCAGAGTTTGCTGTCAGATCTTATTTCAAGTTCAGTATGAAGTTTTAGGTGAGGAAGGGCTATGCTTGATGGAAGTTGGATCTATGTTTTTGTGGCTACTGCTAAGCAAAAATGAGTATGCAGAAAGCAGTTTGGCAGTGCCTTAATAGGTTAAACAGAATTACCTGTGACCCAGGAGTTTCACTCCTTGGTATATGTACCCCAAAGAATTAAAAACAGGTGTTTAAACAAAAACTTGTACACAGATGTTCATAGCAGCATTGTTCACAATAGCCAAAAGGTGGAAGCAACCCACATGTCCCTGCATGTATGAATGGATAAACAAAGATGGCACATTCATATGATGAACAATGGTATGATAGTACAATGAATAAGAATTCAGCTGCAGCAATAAAATTGCTGTATAAATACAAAAAAAAAAAGAATTCAGCTGCAAAAAAGAACGAAGTCTTGATACATGCTACAACATGGATTAACCTTGAAAATGTGCTAAGTGAGAGAACTCAATCACAAAAGACTACACACTATATGATTCCATTTATATAAAATATCCAGAATCTGGGAAATCTGTAGAGATAGCAGATTAGTGGTTGCTGGGTAGGGAGGAGGGTTGGGAAGGAGGGAGGAAAGAGGAGTGGTTGCTTAATGGGTATGGGTTTTTTGGGGGGGTGATGGAAATGTTTCAGAACTAGTTAGAAGTGGTGGTCGCACAACATTGCGAATATACTAAATGTCACAAATGGCAAATTTTATGCTATTTGTATTTTACCAAAATTTAAAAAATGGAATGGGTGACTTTTGAAATGATTTTTAATTCTTTGTGAATCCTACTGAAGTTTAACAGGGTTGGGGTGAGTGCTGAAAAACACACGTGTGGCAAATGTGGGGCAGAGTGGTGGCAGCCATCTGAGGTCTGCAAGGTGAGGCTTGTACATCCCGATTGAGATCCCTGGTGCAGGAACCTGACTCATGTGGGCGCAGCAGCCACACAGGCAGCCGCTCCAGGAGCCCCTGAGGCCTTGCAGAGCTGTTGGCAGTTTCAAGTATAGCGCAGCTTGTTTGAAACTCTCATGTAAAGCCATGTAAAACTGTGGAATACTGAGCTGTTTAAAACCCAAGCATACAGAAACCCAGCAGACATAAATTTTAACTGCAGTGAAGCCAGGATAATTTCAGTTTATCCTATGAAAAGGAAAATAAACTTTTATGTTCTGGTGGTGCTATACTAAGTTTAGTGAAAGGTGTATGGAAAGTTTCTAGTTATTGCTGCACATGTTCTTTTTCCTTGTCCTTGGGAGCATGCCACTTTTTCTTCTTCACACCATATTCTACTCTCAGAAAGAAACGCTTTCTAATGTTTTTCTTTTTTCATTTAGACAATGAAAATAATATTTGATTATTACAAAAATTCTGAAGAAATGGAAATTTTTTTTTTTTTTTTAAAGACATCTCAGGCATCAGGGACTATTGATGTTTTGGCATGCATCCGTCTGGTCTTCTTTCTACGATGATATGTGCACCTGTATTTTGGTTTTTCACTGGGATCATACTACATTTATCAACATAGCATGGACATCTATCATACCAATAAATATCAATCAATATCATACTTTTTTTATTTTTTAGGGATGGGGTCTTGCTCTGTCATTCATGCTGGAGTGCAGTGGTATGATTATAGCTCACTACAGCCTCAAACTCCTAGCTTCAAATTATCCTCCTGCCTCAGCTTCCCAAGTAGCTGGGATTATAGGTGCATGCCACCATGCCCAGTTAATGTTTTTGTATGCTTGTTTTGGTAGAGATGGGTTCTTACTATGTTGCCCAGGCTGGAGTACAGTGGCATGGTCATAGCTCACTGCAGCCTCAAACTGCTGGGCTGAAGCAGTCCCCCTGCCTCAGCCTCCTAGACATCATATCTTTTTTTGTTTTTTTTTTTTTTGGCTTTTAGATTTATTCTTCCATAATCTTATTTTTAATTTTCATTTATTTATTTATTTATTTATTGAGGCAGAGTCTTGCTCTGTCACCCAGGCTGGGGTGCAGTGGCGTGATCTCAGCTACCGCAATTTCTGCTGTCTGGGTTCAAGTGATTCTCATGCCTCAGCCGCCCCAGAGCTGGGATTACAGGTGTGTGTCTCCACACCTAGTTAATTTTTGTATTTTTACTAGAGATAGGCTTTGACCATGTTGGTCGGGCTGGTCTTGAACTCCTGACCTCAGGTGATCCACCCGTCTCGGCCTCCAAAAGTGCTGGGATTACGGGCATGAACCACCATGCCCGGCCCTAAATATCATATTGTTAGTCATGGTGCAGTGTTCCATTTTACACACATGGCATGAATGATTATTTCTTGACCAGAGTTGTAAAGGAGGTAGGGGCTTTCCTTGGAGTGGCTCTTTTGTGGTTACTTAGCCCTCTGTCAGAGATGGTTGGTGACTCAGGTTTTCTGAAATTATTTTCTCTTACTTTTTTATGATGGTTAGTGATAGCCCTCAAAGCAGAGGTGATGGACAATAAAGGCCATAGAGGTCTGTAAAAAATCAGGTTAAACCCCACTGCCTTCAGGCAGATTTCCTGACTGAGCCCTACTCTATCAATTGTCCCCGCCTTTCGTGTCCCAGCAGAAGAGGGAAAGAGCGGTATATACAAGCATAGGCTTTAGAACCAGACTACATGGGTTCACATTCTGGCGTTTGTGACATTAGGCAAGTTACTTAACATTTCTGTGCCTCAGTTCAGATCTGTACAGTGGGGATAATAGTAGCACTGTCTCCTAGGTCAGATGCCAGAAGTTCATGCTAGCACAAATGGCAGAGGTTGTTATTACTATTACTCCTTTTATTTAAGTGGCCCTACCAGTTTGTGGCTTTGAAAGATCATCTATATGCCTGGACAGTGCAAATAAATAACAGACTCTGAAAAGTTCAAATTCCAGAGAGCCTTTTACAGTGCTTTCCATACAGCAAGTCTCCTGTCAATATTAGTAATTGATTGTCTGACCTGATTTGCTGAAGTTCTGGGATCAGCTTGGTGGGATTTTGCATTCATTTCCCATTAAAATACAAAAGTAAAACCAAATTAAAACAAAACAACCCAGGAAACTTGAGAAGTAGATGTAGATGAAATGAATTTCCTTTAGATAGGTCAACATCATTGCTGTGGGCTTTCCTAGGCTCTATGGATATTCTTGACTAGGAGAATCTAGAATTATTAAATGATAATGTCCAGAAATACCTAACAAAACTGAAAGCATTTATTCTGAAAGACCTCTTTATACCAGAAAGCCAAATAAAATTTTGTATTCCCTTGTTTATTCGGGATTCTTGGGAACTGAATTATTTCCAGAAAATAAATTTTCTAGACAGTGGAAGTTTATTCCTGTAACCACCATAATATTTTGCATTTTAATCATTTTGATCTAATGCTTTCTAATGTATGCTGCATAGTTTATGGCTTTCATACAGAGTTACACTGAAAACAATTCAGCCAATTTGTTAGGCCTTGAGTCTTCATCACTGATACATTGTTGTTTAGTTTTTTTTTTTAAGCTCTGCCTAATAATCTCAGTATCATTTGCCTTCTGAAGACACAGACAGCTGTACGCTTACATAGGTCTTTTACCTTTTCATTTTTTTCTATTTTTTTTCTCACTGCCAGGGTATGTCCATTTTAACTTTTTATTACAGAAATGTGCATGATTGCTTTCCCCATTCCAAAATACCTTTCTAATTTATTAACCTACAAATTTCATGCCCCAGGAAACCAGAAACCCAAGTCTGTTACTATTTTGTGTAAGGAAGATTAGTAGGCATTGAATAAACTCATGTACTTTGCGACAGGTTTTTTGACCATTCAAGGCCTTTAAAAATATATTTCCTGCTGGGTGTGGTAGCTATGCCTGTAATCCCAGCACTTTAAGAGGCCAAGGCGGGTGGATCATGAGGTCAGGAGTTCAAGACCAGCCTGGCTAAAATGGTGCAACCCTGTCTCTACTGAAAAAATACAAAAATTAGCCAGGTGTGGCTATGGGAGCCTGTAATCACAGCTACTTGGGAGGTTGAAGCAGAGAATTGCTTGAACCCGGGAGGCAGAGGTTGTGATGAGCCAAGATTGCACTGTTGCACTTGATCCTGGGCAACAGAGTGAAGCTCTGTCTCAAAAAACATATATATACTTCCTGGTTACAGGCTGTTATTTGGTAGGTATTTGACTCTGGGCAAAATGCCATTTTATTTATAAGCTACAGTGCCTATGATTTTCCATTCTGGCATTGGTGCCTTCCTGCTGCTCCCAAACTAAATAGAGAAATGAAGTTTTAAAAAATCACCTGTCCTCTGTGCATTTGGTAAAAGTTTTGTAAAATGGGATTTGGATCTTTTAAATAGAAGGAGAGGTAAAATACTGTATTCTTAAATATCAGTTCATAAATGCTTTTCCATTTTCATTACAGAGACATAGTGATGACTTTCACTCATGGAAACCTCTCAGAGCAAGAGTTTATAACCATTGCACGTCACTACCGCGTGCCTGAGGAAATATGTCCAGATGGGGATTTCTTACTTGGACTGGCGCAGGAAAAGTTCAAGAAAAATTTTTTTGAGAATTTTGACCGTATCATTTATGCCTGTGGGTATGAAGATCGAGAAAAGTAAGCTTTTCTTTTATTGATTCTAATCATCTACATTTCTGTGAACCTGAGTAATGAAGGAATTTCTTGTCAAAAAGAAAATTGATGTGTCTCGTCATACTCCACTATTTAGCAAAGCCACCTTAAATCATTTCTGCAGAAGTATTTGGGTACAGATATTTCCCAGTAATGGTGAGCTTTTTTTTTCTTTTCTCTTCTTTTCTTTTTTTTTAGGGGTGTGTGTGTGTGTGTGTGTGTGTGTGTGTGTGTGTGTGTGTGTGTATGTGTGATGGTGTCTCGCTCTGTCGCCCAGGCTGCTGGAGTACAGTGGCACAATCTTAGCTCACTGCAACCTCTGCCTCCTGGGTTCAAGAGATTCTCCTGTCTCAGCTTCCTGAGTAGCTGGGACTACAGGCACGCACTGCCATGCCCAGCTAATTTTTGTATTTTTTTTTCTTTTTTTTTTTTTGAGACAGAGTTTCGCTCTTGTTACCCAGGCTGGAGTGCAATGGCGCGATCTCGGCTCACCGCAACCTCTGCCTCCTGGGTTCAGGCAATTCTCCTGCCTCAGCCTCCTGAGTAGCTGGGATTACAGGCACGTGCCACCATGCCCAGCTAATTTTCTGTATTTTTAGTAGAGACGGGGTCTCACTATGTTGACCGGGATGGTCTCGATCTCTTGACCTCGTGATCCACTCGCCTCGACCTCCCAAAGTGCTGGGATTACAGGCTTGAGCCACCGCGCCCGGCTAATTTTTGTATTTTTAATAGAGACAGGGGTTCACCATGTTGGCCAGGCTGGTCTTGTTGATGGAATAGGGGAGGCGCTGTATCTTTGAAAGAATAGGCTGCTCCCCTGCATGTTCTTTTCATTTGTTTCTAGAAGCTTTCAACTGAAGCATAGTAAATCAAAATGTTAGAAGGGTTAATTTTGACATGTCATCTTTTTGCATTATTTTAGTACTGATTGAGATTTATAAATGTAATTTTTACAATAAACAGAAAATGGAATTTTCAAACAAACATTTTATAGAATTTCTTTGAAATTATTTCTTCTTGAAAATAATGAAGTTCAGCATAAGCTATTTCTTACACATTGGTTGTGAGCGTGTTGAGCTTCATTAAGTCATTGTTATATACAACTGGATGCAAACATCTCAATATGTTTTTATGTATTCATCTTATAGACCTGATACAGTGGGGGTCAATATACATTTACTGATTTTATCTGAAATTAGAAAAATCTTAGTTCTTGCTCTGGCTTCTAGCCTTATTGCTGCATACTACTGCCATCTCTTTTCCTTGTGACCACTTTCCTCATCCCCAAACTTGAAATCTCCACCCAGGTGGCCAACTGCATACCCTGAATATCTGTGAAGGTCCCATAGTTTATCTTAAACATGTTTTTTATTAATCCATAATGTATCCTTTGAGTTTTTATAAAGATGGTATTTTTCCTTGACTATGTAAGCTTCCCCAAGCTTCCTAGAAGATGTGTGGCCTGAGTTTTGCATGGTCCTGGCCCTACCTTCCACCCTGGTGGTGCCCCTTCCCCAGAGTGAGAAGCATGACCCTGCTTCATTCAAGGAACACTTCCTGGGAACAGTGGGGCTGCTAGACCAGAGAGCCTGAGGTTCTCCCAGTTCCAACAAGCTTTGATTCTAGATGTAAACATTCTCATCGCAAAGAAGAGAGCCAACTTTCTTTTCTGTTGATTCTAATGTTGCCCGATGCCTGGAAAAGTGTTGGTTGAGTGAGAACATTGTACAAGCATTTCTGTGCCCTCAGAAGACTGGAAAAAATGACTGTTGGGCTGCTCTAGAGAAAACTACTTGCATCTGAAAAAATTGAAGTGAATATTGAGACCCCAGCTGGGGCTTCCAGGTTATGAGGTTTAGGTCCAAGGAAAAGAATAGAAAAACACCCTCAAGTCATGTCATACTTGAGTTGGAGGCTCTAGATGCCTGTCAAATTAAGAGATGTTTTCAAATATCAGAACCATTTTTGACTAGTGGTCAAGAATGCAGATCAATTACTTAGAGCAACACTTGTGGCTGCAGCCTTAATAGGCTGTACTGTCACCAACCAAGAATCTGCATCTTGATGGAAAAGCCTTTGTAAGGACGGAATCTGGTGGCCTCTGAAATAGAAAAAGTTGATGAAATGAAATATGACTGTTCTTCCTTGTTGTGAATTCCATTACCAATTTTCATACTTCCACGTGTACGTTCTTAGGACACATCACAAATGTACTTTCTTTCCTGTAGCATGTAATTGTTACTAAAGGGATACAAGGTATATAAAACCTCATTTACTTTGTTTTAATGCAGAAAAAATGTATTACCCACCAAAGACATTAAAAGGCTGTGCAAATCCTTCAGATTACCTTTGACTGATGATCTTCTAGAATCCTTATTGTCAAGGTAAGTTAGAATTCCACTCTTGATAGGGCTTGTCCTGTGTACTTTTATTTGGGGCACTATTTTTGGTTTTACATCTCCCTTTAATTACCCTTGATTTACCCTTGACTGTTTTGATTATATTATTGGTGGCCTACCTCCATTTAAGTGTTACAGAAGGAAAAGTTTGTTATGATTTTGAATGTCAGAGAGCCTATTACAAATTTTTTTTTAATATTTTTAACATGAATACACACTTATATCTCCACAGATTCCTGTTTACATCTAGACAAAATGAAATACACAACTTCATTGGTTAGGAGGACATTAAATGTAAAATTCAGGGCAGGTTTTTCAAAGCAGCAGTTCCTGATAGATATAGACATGCAGTAAGAGAACCTAGGGTTATTAGCATGGGGCTTTGTCCTGATGAGCACCAGATGTAAAACATAGAGATTATGATGCCATAGAAGGAGAGCACAGTGAACTGCTTTCTAAAACACATGAGTTCTACTGTTGAACGTGACTTTTGATTTCCTGGCATGTCCCTCTCAGCCACCTAGACTCTGGTCATTTCTTATGCTTCCTATAGCATCACTCACTCTAGCTCCTCCTCTGACTTATATATCTTGAGAATTCTGACATTTTTGGCTGTGTTCTAGGCATCGTGATCATTGCTTTGGGTATATTATCTCATTTACTTTTTGAGAACAGCTTGTTGAGGTCAGAACTGTTATCCTTCCTGTCTTATACATAAGGATGCTGAGGTTTAGAGAAATGAGGTATTTTGCCCAAAGTCACATAGTGCAGAAGAAGAGCTGTGACTTGAATCATGAACCTTTCAAATGCACATCCCCTGCTTCTAATCATTTTGAGTTACTGTCTACAAATAGCCAGTAGATTAGGATGTCTTGACAGTTCTACTTCCTCCTTACTGCCTGCGTCTACTCTCTCCTCTCCATTTCCACTATCATCATTCTTGTTCTGACCCACATTGCTTCTTGAATACTGCAGTGCCACCACATTGCTCTTTCATCCACCAGTCTCTAAATGTTTAAATTCATCTTTATATACAGCAGCCAAGTACCTTCTAAGAGCAAAAATCTATGCCATCATATTGCACTTTTACTCACAAACCTTCTGTGGTGTCTCTTTGCTCTCTAAGGAAGGACCAGCTCTTTAACTTTGAATTAAGCTCCTTCTCCATAGTGGGGCTTAGGGTTGACAGTTGGAGCATTGTCCTCAGACAGGGGCTGACGTGGAGAGTCCTTGTTTGAGGCAAAAGGAGAAACCAAAGGAACAGATAAAGCCAAATTCTGTGTCAGGGAACAGAGAAGGAAGGAAGGAAGGAAACCCAGAAGAGGGCAAATCTAGTTGGATGTGTGTGTGCATTGGATCAACCTGAAATAATTTTCTAGACTATCAACTCTATTTGTTTTGTTTTGATTTTGTTTTTGTTTAGCTCTATTTGCCTTTATTTGCTAGCAGCAGTGTGAGGGATCCTGGCATAAAGGAAATGAGATTAAGTAGGCAGGCCTTGGACCCAGAGTTCTTCACAGTTATTATTCCCCTACCCCCAAAACTCCCCTTCCTGTTGCTAGTAGTCCACCCACATCTGCCATTTAGCATTTCATACATATACCTCCTACCTTCCCACCTTTTTTTGTGTGTGCCTTTTTTCTAGCTATTTCTTCAGTAGGCAGTAGCTCCCATGGTTTTCACTTGCCAAAAGCTTGCTCTTCCTTCAAGACCTATTCCAAGTGGTACCATATCCATGAAGCTCTGTTGCATTTGTTTGGCTGGTAATCAGAGTGATTATCTGCTCCTAAGAATTCTCACAGCACCATTTATGTGGTGTCTTTTTATCTCTTACCTTGTAATGACGAGTTGTGACTTGACCTTTAATTCATTCAGATGCAGATACTGCTTCTGTTTGATTTACCACCTATAAATAACCAATAGGTTGTCACATCCTGACAGTGTTACCCTCCCCAACCCCATCTCTTAAATTCTTTGAGTCTACTTATTAGCTGTGTGATCTTGTGCAAGGGTTTTGACCTGCCTGAACCTCAGATTCCTTACCTCTAGAATGAGATAAATGTACCTATTTCCTAGTGGTTCTGAGGATTAATTGAGATAACATACATAAAATACCTAGCACAGTACCTGGTGCAAAGAATTGATTGAGAACTAGGAGAGAAATTTAAGTCAGAGACCATAGACCACACACTCTGATTTAGAAATAAACTGGAAGAAACCCGTGTCTTTCTATGTAGAGGAAGCCATGTTTTTCAACAATTGTATCTGAATGCCTTTCGCACATTAAGCTGTCTTCTAGTCAGTAAGCTGTGGATGTTTATTAGATTATCTTTTGATGGCCTTGAGGATGAGTTGTCCTGGAAAGTCCAGTAATGTGGGAGCCTGGCTTTTGGAGGACCTACGTGTTTCTTATCCAGTGCTGAGGCCACCAAGTCGTCATCCTCTCATTCTCTCAGCAGACTGTTTTGTCTTTGCCTTTACGATTTGACATGAAATGCAAAAAGATTGTTTCACAACTTGCTTCGAAGTCGTCTCAGTCTCTGAACACATCTGTCTCCAAGCCCACTTAGCTTTGAGGAGGTCATCCCTCTCAGCTGCTAAGCAGACCATGTTCAGTCTAACTTTGCCTCTAATTGTGCAGTGACCCTTCTCCACACTCAGGGGAAACTTCAGACTAATCAGATTAGAAAATGTCTCATTCCCATTCCCCTCTCCCTCCAATATGCCCTGCCATGATTTGGGTCACATGCTTGGTGTTTTGCATCATCTCTGCAGATTCCTTTCAAAGACTGCCCTAATTCCTAATGGGCCCATCAGCCTGCAGCTTACATTTATATTCTGCATTCTTATTGTTCCCCACAGACTCCACAGGGCTTTACAGAGCCCTGACCAGAGTCTCTTTCTGCACAGCCCTCCTTATGGCACGCTAAGCCAGAGCCCCCTCTGACGTCTGCAGTCTCCCATGGGAGGCAGGCATAAAGCTTGTTGATTTTGTTCAATGCACGCTCTTGCCCAGGAGTAGTTTTACCTGCTTTGGGATGGATCTGGGCAGCTGTTGAGCAGCCGTGTAACCCTGCTGTGTGAATTCAGATCAGGAGATGAAAAAACAATATGGCTCAAGGGTTGGATGCTTTCTTTCACCCAGTGATTGTTACCCATGTATTTCTCCTAACCCCATATTCTGGTACCAGAATTTTCCTTCTACTCCGTTCTCATTTTTCTTATAATTAAGCTTGGTCTTTTCTTTATTATGTTAGCATAACTCAAACTGGAATCAGGACTTCAAAATCTTTTCGTATCTGGTTCAGTCCTTCAGCCCCTGTCAGTTTGTGCTGTGGGAGCTGGTATAAGGTCGCCTTAAGTACCAAGCAAATTCATTTCATTAATGCACATAGCATCAGACTTAAATGTTCTGTAGAGTGGTAGCGATTATCCATTAATAATAGAAGTGACACTTTGTATTGATGTAGTGCTAAGGGCCTTAGAATATTTTGTAAATTTTTGAGCATATTAAAAGGTACATTTTAATTGACAGTAGGCATTATTTCTCATTTCGTGAGTGTAAACTCTGAGGTATAAGGAGAGTCTCTCACTGAAAGACTGTGCTCCAGGCCAAGATGAGCCTCTAATGGAAGGAGAACTACAACTCCCTAAGATACTCTAAACCTTCGCCTCTGTCTGAGCTCCCGGGGATGGGGACTAGACCTCATTCATTTTTGCAGCCTCGAAGTCTTGTCCTATGCTAATGCACTGGGCGTGGGGGAGAAAAACATGGGCTTGGTGTCCACTGGAGCTGCTCCTGCCTCTGCAGGTCAACTCTGCTGCTTCCTGGCCGTGCGATCCTTGGGCATTTACTCAACCCCTTTGAGCCTTCATTTGGGCATTAATGTTCCTCTGAACTAATAAACAAGAAATTCTGATTCTTAGACCGTAAGAGGTAGAAGGAATTCTGAAATCATTCCATTCTATATTCTTTGTGGAACAGGGAAGGAAGGAGGCAGCCTTCTCCCCTAATTGTGGCCTTCTGAATCGAGACTTGGAATGACTAGAGATTCAAGTGCAGCTCTTTCCCCAGCAGCTCTGTCCTGAGCTAGACTTTTATAGCTGGCTTTGGGTTCCATGGAATGCCTTAGAACGGGCCTCCCAAGAGAGCTGGTGCCTCATCCAGAAATATCAGTTAAAATGGAAAAAGTTAACAGCGCTTTAAAATCATCTCATTATAGTTTACCCAGGCCTGCCCCCTGTCCCACTCCCAGAGGCGGGATTAAGGCTCTTGTGATTTCACCCAAAAATACCTGGCAGTGAGGCTGAAGGGCAAGGGCTGAGCCATGTGGCAGCTATTGTGGCAGAGTGGTGTACTGAAGAAGTTTTCAGAGAGAGGCCCCTTGTCTCTCTCTCTCTCTCTCTCTCTCTCTCTCTCTCTCTCTCTCTCTCTCTCTCTCTGTCTCTCCCTTTTTCCTCCTTTGTGTACTGTGTCACTCTCTCTCTTTCTTTCTGAGACCCACTGACCCACCCAGATGCTTTCTACCTTTTCAAATATAATGAGGTTCCTAGTTGAAGTGATTTTTCTTTTAAATCCCAAACCATGTGGACATGCAGAATATCAACTCTATGTACAGCCCTAAACTGGCAGCTGTGACCCACCTCACCAAAGAGATCTGTGCTAGAGTCAGAATTGGAATTTAGCGGCATGACTATTTAGAGATAACCAGAGTTACTTGTTGGCAACTTGACGCAGGGGCCCCAAGCTCCACTTCTTCTCAAGTGTCTGGCCTTGAAGACTTTTACCAGGTGTTTCAGGATGCACCCCTGAGTTTGCTAGGTAATGGACTGAAACCAAACACAACTGAGTCAGAAATGGATCTTCACTGTCTTCTCTCCCTTCTAGACCATTCCCCTAAATGATGAGGTGATCTTTGCAACAGAGGAGAAGCAGGCTCCTCTTCAGCAAAATACAGCTGCCACTGAGCCTTTTACCTCTACCA